TAGCATACCGCAAGAACAGTGATGTTATGTTTAACAGAGCTGTGTTTGTTTCGAACGAACCAGTAGAGTCATCAGAAGTCTTTGAGTTGAATATTGACAAAATCAATGTACAGCACAACGGTTCAATGGAACTTGGTAAGAATTACTAACTAATACTCAATATTCTTTTACCTTTTATCGTCTATGATGGAACTGATGTAATAACGTCATTACTATCATCATTTTTATTACCATTAATTACAACATTCTTTTGCAATTTACCTAAAACTATGCTATACGCTACTATTTATTTGTTTTAGGTATGTGCATGTACAATGAATTTTCAAAAGAGATTTATTATGAAGGAAGTGGATTTGGTAAAGGAAGTGGATTCTGGTTTTTAAGGTGCGTGCCTTAATTACCTCCGCCAATGAAGTTGGCAGGATGTTATATCTTTTCCCCTGTTTATTATTTATTTATTTGTTTGTTTATTATTTATTTTTTTAAATTTTTAAATTTATTTTATTTATTTTCTTATTTATTTTATTTATTTATTTATAATACTTATTTATTTTTATGTTTTTATATTTATTTATTTTTTATGTTTTTATATTTATTTACTTACTTCCTGACTTATTTTTGTTTTAATTTAATTATTTATTTACAGGAGATTGTTTTTGCCCCTGTTTATTTATTTATTTATTTGTCGGCATATTTGTTGTGAACAGTCAAACTTGTCCACAATGTTCCTTTACCTACGATCTAGAGCTGACTAAATTCTGAAGGGTCAGGGTCAAAGGTCAAGGTCACAATCAACGAAAAACTAAAAAAAAATTATTTCTCATAGTATTAATCACAAACTTGTTATACTTGGTCACAATATTCCATCATCAAAGATGTCAATGTATTTGACTGTTGAAGGGTAAGGGTTAAAGGTCAAGGTCACAATAATAAAAACCTGCTTTTTTGAAAAAAATCTTGTTCCTTTACCAAAAGATTTGGAAGTGACTAAATTTTGAAGGGTCATGGTCAAATGTCAAGGACACGATGATCGAAAAACAACTTAAACTAAATATAGGCCTAACTGTCTGCCGTACCTTTCTATGTAGGTCTAATGTACAGTTTATAAATCATTGCCTAAATTTTCTTTTGCATAGACCTTTGAATAAATTGGTAATCAATTTAACGATCTTTGTAATATGGTAATCATTTCTTTCTATCTATAATTGTTTCAATGGAAGTTGATAACTTATTTATTTATTTTATTTTATTCCTTCTGGCAATAACAAATAACAATCCCTATTAGCCATATATGTTTTAATTTAAATTTTTGATGGGATTTTATTGTTGTTGACAGGCGATACATCTTTTTATTGTCGGAACTTTTTTCCAATAAAAGATGTAAAACGCTTTCAATAATGCCTTTATATTCAGAGAAAATGATCTATGGAAAGATTTTACAATGATTGGTGGGGGTTATAAACTTAACCTACTCAGTATACGCGTTAATGATAGAGTGGGATTGGTTAGACATCCGGATGGGACTATAGGATTTCTGTACAACGGGCAGTACCAAGGAATTGCCTTCCGCAATGTACCTGGAGGTAAGCTTTGACAATAGTATACATTCTCTATGGTAGTAGTGAACAACAACATGTTAAAATCATATTTACAGTTGAATAAAGGTTATAGTTTTATGTATTTATATCGCAGACCAGAAATTTATCAAAATGTAATTTACATCACCTAAGCTAGCACCAGTTGAGTCTCGATTATCATATGATCTTTTTTTTAGAACACAATGTTGAACATAAAAACATTCTATTTTTGTTTTCAATATGTTATTGCTAGCATGTTGTCAGTTACCAATATGTTTATTTAAAATGCTTTCTCTCTAGATAAAATTTAATCTGAAACCACTAATAACCATGCACATTGACGATAAACCACTAATAACCATGCACATTGACGATATCAATTATTCAGAAACTGATTTTCATAATTTAGGTCTTTATGGATTAGTTGCTACAACCGGCAAATGTGTCCAAGTGTCAATAACCGAGAATGCTGGGCGTACCTTTGAACAAGAAACAGTAGCTGGTACACCTAATGCACCATTTGGTAAATCGATTAATCAGTTATTTGACTTACTGACCGATCAATCAGTCGGTCAATCAGTTTTTATTCTAAAACGCTGTATTTCAATATAATACATTTCTATTTGTGAAAACATTTAATAAATTTTAAACCTACTTAAGAAACATTAAATGTTAAATGTCTATATCAAGTACAGTTGTATTTTTTTAGAATATTTTTGCATTGGAAAGGTTCATGAATAGCATTGACATGCATTGCAAACTAGGAAGGAAAATCTATAAAGAGAGGTTAAGTTTGTTGATGGCACATCTGAATGCATTAGGCTTAAAAGAAGGGGGAAATAAGAACTAGGTAGTTTGTTCATAAAAAAGGTATGAATGAGGATGAGTGAAATAATACCATAGGGGTAAGTTTAAACTGAAAATATATGGATGTTCAGGGCAGACCTCCTGGTCTGCCTGGCAGGAATATGATATGGAGAAGAATGGCCTTTAGTTTATTTGAACAATTGCAAAATAATGTATTTATTTATTACTGTATATGAATACAAAAATTCATAAACGGTAGCACAAGGCTAAAATTGTCTGTATTACAATAAAATTTCACATTATATACTATTAAAATTACAAAAAATACAATTAAAAAAAATTTACTAAACACAATTGCACATTAAATAAGTATTACAAAAAATTACAATTACAAAATAACTTCATTTACTATATACAAAATTAACAAAATACAATA